AAAGTGAAATAGGCAAAAGTTCTTGAATCGCTTTAACTGCGGTATCCCCCTTAATTAATTTCTGCGACCAAAGAGAGGTAACTTGAAAAAGTGGCTTATTTATGTTTCCACCATGACATATATTTCAGAGCGACAAGATATGATAATAGTGGTATTTAAGTGTGTTTGTTGTGTGTGTATTGCGTGTATGTGTGTGTGTATGCGCGCGTGTGTGGAATATTGTACGTATGTTTAGATGTGTGAGTGATGGGAAGTAAGAGAGGATGAATCGGTTGTCGTCGTACGAATCGCTTGTATCGATCGAAAAAACTATCGTAATATGTACAATGGAAATGTTTGTGTTTGTCGCTGAGCGAAAGGAAAAAGCACACATTTGTTATATGTACTAAGGACACAAAAGCGAAAAACAGCGCGAAGCGATGTTAAGTGACAGACTCTATATTCAGATTCTCTTCTGTAGGTTTCATTAAAGTGCATTTCTTGTATGTTATTACAGTATTATGGTAGAACATAAGAGAATAAACGAATGCAATAGTAAAATGTATTTGTGCATTTTATTTTCTTGCATTAATTGTTATTTTTGTTTTAATTTTGACATCTCATACTATATATGGATGTGCCAAGTAAGATAACTGTTATTATTGTTATTATTATGTTATAAATTATATAGTCCTATCAGAAAAAGTGCGTGTTAACTAAATCTCGAATATATCGAAGTGGGTGAAGCCTCTTTTCCGCGACGTTAATTGGTCGTCTCGATCGTCTCGATTGTCTCGATCCCGTCGCAGTTGAATTCGTGCCGCTTGCAGCTGTCAGCCGCGGTGACAGATCAGGTTGTGTTGTTCGCGTCATATAAATTTGATATTTATTGTAATAGGAAATTACAACTAACATGTATGCTATATGTAACATTGTGTTTGCTGGGAATATAATTTGTAAAAACGATTATTGTAATATAAATTTATATGACGCGAACAACACAACCTGATCTGTCATTGCGGCTGACAGCTGCAAGCGGCACGAATTCAACTGCGACGGGATCGAGACAATCGAGACGATCGAGACGACCAATTAACGTCGCGGAAAAGAGGCTTCACCCACTTCGATA